CGCTCTTCCAACTCACACACCCTTCCCTGTCTGAAGGCTACTTTCAGCCCCTGCACCCACAGGACGTGACCTTGGCATATCCTTGACGTGTCCTCCCCTCCTATCCTTAGTCACACTTCTCGTTTCTAATCACTGGTGAGGCATCGAATTTTCCTGTGGTTACTCCCCAGCTTTCTAATTTTCCACTTTTACTTTGAAATTAACTCCACATCATGTGAGCAGGTAGAGGGAAGAGAACCTTTTATCGTCCACACAGGTAAACTGTCACATCCATATCTCCCCACTTGGCGGCAGTGATGGTTAATGTCACGTGTCCACTTGGCTGGGCCATGGTGTCAGTTATTTGGTCAAACGCTAGTCTAGATGTTGCTGTGAAGGCACTTTTTAAAAATATGATGAACAGTTAAATAGGAGACTTTGAGTCAAGCAGATGACATGACCCTCCATAATGTGGGTGGGCCTCATCCAATCAGTAGGTGGCCTTAAAAGACTGAGGTCTACCAAAGAGAAAGGGATTCAGCCTCAAGATTGCCTTCGGGGCAAGGCTGCGACATCAGCTCCTGCTAGACTCTCCAGCCTGGCGAGCTGCCCGTAGACTGTGCTGTTGCCAGCCCCGCAACTGTATGAGCTCATTCCTTAAAGCCAGTCAACTTCTGGGTCTCTCTCGCTCTCTCATTTCAGTTCTGTTTCTCTGGAAGAAACTGTTAAATCCAGGTAATCAGAAATTTTCAATAAAATGCCTCATACGATCTCTAAAATGCCATATGCCTTGTATGTTAAGACCAATGATTTGCTTAAGGTTTCTGAAATGAGAGCATATTCAAAGACTAGATATGCAGAATTGTCAATAATCATGATGTCAAAAGTGAAAGGCTACTAATGGACTCAGAATTGAAGGAGTAAATTATTTCCAGAGGTAAAATCAAAGTCCTAACTTAATTTGGCCCTTGCACATCTCAGTCCCTTAATTCTCTGCATTGGTTTATTTCTTACAGAATGGATTTCCAAGTAGCTTTAGAGTAAATTATAGCCTTGAATCAGAAAAATCTAAATTATAGGCCCCCTAAAAAAATCATACTCGTGGCCAAACTTTGCCAATAAATAAAATCCCTTGTAAAAAAAATCTTTCATAGAGCAAGCAATAAAATTTTACCTAGTGCCTGTCATGTGTGCTGGGAACAGTTACAAGCAAAAGCATTTACTGTATATTCTTTGGTCACACAAACTAGCATCTACTCAGCGCCACAAACACGCAGTCACAGTGAGGTGCTCTGGTCTCCATTATTAGGAAAGGCTTATATTAAGTTACATAAAGGGGGGAAATGCCCAAATTGGTAACAAATACAATTACAGAGTAGGTCCCCTGGAGTAGCAAAACATAACGTAAAACGAATGCACTTTTCGAAAGACTGATTCCCAGCGCCTGCCCTGAAGGGCGTGATCTATTTCCTGGGGAACAACTCATATATCCACTCAAATTCTGTAAGAGTAAAGCAATGCTCAGTTTCCGTACACTCTACCACTTGACCTTAAACTCAGAACAAAAATAAAACAATGGGTTTTCCTTTAACTCCGATCTCCATTAAGATAACGAAAGAACTATTTCATTTTAAAACGGCAGACTAGACACATCCTACCTTTCCAAGTCTTCAAAAGGCCACCACCGAGGTCACACCACAGTAGGGATGAATTTATTTTAGGTCCTGGTCGCTCAGCAGGAGAGTTCAGACCATGAAATTATCAGAGCTTTGAACTTTGTCCTGCACAGAACACAAAAACCCACCAGTGTGATTTGTAGGTTCATGCTGCTGCCTGGCATTAAGTTAATGTATAACAACAATTACACATCAGAGAGAAAAGAAATCAACAAGTTAAATATACACTCCAGAAAAACCTTAACTAGCAACAACAACGAGAATGTGATCATCTTGGCAATGCCGCCGGCCCTATCTGTATGTTTCCCCCTCTTTCCCATACATGGGAGGGTGCCTGCTTGGGACCAGGCAGTGGGTGTGTGGACAGGTGACAGCTGGGCCCACCTGTGACCCAGTCAACAAGGGCGGTTCTGTTCAGCTGCATGGTTTGGGTTTCAGGACAAAAGCAGTCTGACTACTTGGGTTCGGGTAGAACCGAAAATTCTTCCCAGAGGATTTTCTGTGGGAATTTCAACATTCAAATGAGTTTAACACTGGTTTCTCAAAATGAGTCATTCTCAGTGAGCACAGATACCAGATACCTATTCAAAATCAGTCATTCAAACATGGCAGTCAACACTGCCATGAATAAAGAAGGAGCCAGTCATTATATATGAGGTGATTTGAATATATTTCGTTATATATGAGGTGATTTGAATATATTTGAATATATTTCATTATATTTGAATATATTTCATTATATATGAGGTGACTTGAATATAATTCAACTCTCAAATTACTACATGCCTTTCTTTCTAGTGTGAAATGTAAACTCAGGTTTTTGACTGTGGATACCTCAAAGGTAAGAGAAGTCCTTCTATATTAGGTGGGAATCTTTTATATCTACTTCCCCATGGATGTTTAAAGACACTGTAATGTAAAATGTACAATGAAAATCTAAATGGAGATGATGTTTGCCATTGATTCAAAACATTCCTATAGTCAAGCGTTCAGGGAATCATTCTTTGTATTCAACTAAGACAGAGGATCATTCTAAATTTTAAATTGCTTTTTAGGATAAAAAGATGGTAGTTCATTAAAATCCTGATAAACATTCACTAAATCAATAGAAAGAAGTCTTGAATATTAGTTGGCACGTTTGAAATAAATACATCTTCATCGATATCCAAGAAAAGGATAGGTAACTCTTCCATGTTATAAAATTAATGTATAATACATCCCTGTTTACTAAATAATTAGCCTCCATTTTGTAAACCATGGAAATCACATTTCTCAGATCATTCTACCAGAAGAACAAGAATCCTTCTGAATTCCTGTAATCTTTATTTTGATAGAGAATCACAGGTGGATTGTCAAAGGTTTATTTAGGCTATGTGGGAACTTAATATATGTTAATTAATAAAACTGAATGATTTTTAATACATTTAAAAAAAAAAAGCAGCTAGTGACTCTTCACCTTA